GTAGGTCTAATGTAGCGACTTCCAGAGCTAGGTGGTCAAATTGCAAAGTCAATTGGACGGGTGCCAGTTTGAGATAGACGCTCTTAGGGGGGAGTCGGTAAGAAGCAGCAGAAGCTCGAGGAGGCGGAGTCCTCCCGAATGTAAACTCGAAGGAGGGTTGCTATTCTAGAGTTGGCGAATAGGACTCTTCGTTCTGAGCGGGATAATATTCTATCAACGGCCGAAGCTAAAGAGGCTAGGCTCGAGGAGAGAATTGGAGAGTTGGATAAGGAGAACTCTGAGCTGCTTGAGCGAGTTTCTGCTGTTGAGGTCGAGAATGCCTAATTGCTCGAACAACCCTCTACATCCCACGTGGATAAGTATGAGGAATGGATCCTCGCCAAAGCCCAAGTAAATGTGATTCGTGAGTTGAACCAGACTGGCTTTGTTTTTAGACGACCATCGAAGAATTTCGAGTTAAAGCACGTGAGGCCCGGCTCGCCTGTGGCAATGATCCCGCCACACCTCAGCCCGATTCCACGGAAGGCGATGAGGGAAGTGTGGACAGCTCGAGGATAGTGCTTGGTATGACTCCGCTAATGGTCGAGGCTAGGAAATAAAGAATGGTGGAGATCAAGTTGGCAATGGACATTGAATTTTTAACTTTTCGTTTTTGCTCCATTTGTAGTGTACCTTTTGTTGGAGCCTTTGAACGTCTTTGTAAGACCTTTTCTATGAATACAAAAGTTTGTTTTTGTTTTGTATGTACCTTTTTGTTTTTGTGCATTCTTGTATTTGTACTTGTGTTTTGCTTCTATGCTTTTTCCATTGTTATTTTCTATTGGGTTTAGACCAGAGCCGATAAGTGTTGCTCGAATGGGTCGAATATACCGTTGAGTTAGGTTGAGGCCGAGGGCCGATAGGAGTTGTTTGAGGAGTCGAATTTACCTTTTATTAAGTCGTGGTTGAGGGCCGATAGGTGTTGTTCGAGCTGGTCGAATATATCATTGAGTTAGGTTGAGGTCGAGGGTCGATATAAGTTGTTCGAGCTGGTTGAACTTACCTTTCATTAAGTCATGACCAAGGGCCAATACATGCTATTTGAGCTGGACGAACACTTCGTTGAGTTAAGTCATGGACATGGGCTGATAGGAGTTGTTTGAACTAGTCGAACACACCTTTTAGTTAGATCGAGGTTGGAGGCCGATGGGGGTTGTTAGAGTTAATCGAATGTACCATTTCGTTGAGTTGTGGCCGTGGGCCAATTGGAATTGTTCGAGCTGGCCGAATATACTTTTATTAAGTTATGGTCGAGGGCAGATATGATTTGTTCGAGTTGATGGAACGCACCTTTTCATAGAGTTATGTCCATGGGCTAATAGGAGTTGTTCGAGTTGATCGAACGTACCTTTTCTATGGCCGTGGGCTGATAGGTGTTGTTCGAACTGGTCGAACACCTTTTTAGGAGAGCATTTTCAATGAACGTGTATCTTATTTACTTCAATACTATTACTTTGATTACATCATTTCGCCCTAAGGAAACATTTGGAGAAAATTACAAGTTTTAGGTGCTGGTTAGTGTCCCCCATCCCAGTCCCAGTATATCTAATCCTCTTATTGTTTGACTTGGAGATTCATGAGGAGTCGGGCAATAAAAAATGTGTCTGCTCTCACGTACTCCAACTCAAAGTGTCCCATTTGTCATCTCATTAAAAATCTCCTTAAGAAAACCCTATTGGAGAAAACCCTATTGGGACAACACTTAAGTGAGGAAAAAAAGAGTACGACTTATGGGACATTTCTTATTTTTCAGAAGTTGAAGTGTTTAGTGTAGCTGAGTTTTCAATTGTTTGGTAAGAGCTTCCCTTCCATAGTTTCCACTTGGAATGAACCCTTTTCCGCTTTGCCTATGATTTTGTATGGTCCATACCAGTTGGTTCCTAATTTTCCCTCTCATAGATCTCTGCCTGCTTGGGTCTTGGCTTTGAGCACGTAGTTCCCAATCTTGAGTACTTGTACCTTTGCCTTTCTGTTGTAGTAGCGTTCTGCTTGCTATTTTTGTGCGACCATGCTTATGTATGCCATATCTCGTCGCTCTTCGACCTCATCGAGGTCTTGTCTTCTATTCTCATCATTGCGTGTGCCGCTTTCATAGGAGTACCTTAGGTTGGGTTCTCCGACTTCGACTGGTATGACCGCTTTAGTTTCGTAGACTAAAGAATACAGTGTTTTCCCTATGTTCATTTTTGGGGGTTGTTATGTGAGCCCATAACACTTTTGGGAGTATTTATGGCCACAGTGCCTTGGCCTCGAGTTTATTCTTCATAATGTTTAAGATATATTTGTTTGAGGACTCTTCCTGCCCATTGCTGGCGGGGTGGTAAGGAGTTGAAAGTATCCTTTTGATGTGTCATTTTTCGAGAAACTCTATGGTATTTCTTCCCGTGATGTTTTTCCATATTAAGGCGATTACCTCTTGCTTGTGAATTTAGGCGAATGCTCCTGATTCCACCCACTTAGAGAAATAGTCAATGAAAACTAAAAGAAATATTACATTACTTCGTCCTGGCAAAACTGGTCCCATGATATCTATTCCCCATTTAATAAATGGCGACGGAGAGGTGACGGAGTGGAGGTGTTCTCCTGTATGGTGGATTATTAGGGTGTATTTCTGAGTTCGAGAAATCTGGTCGAGCTGGCAGTCGTCGAACCAAGGTAGCAACTTGCATATGTCGGTCTGGTACTTCTGTAGTCTCTGCTCTTTGATTTGGAAAGTCCTAGTGACTTGGTTGATGACGAGTTGAGGTTGCAAGGCAGCTTTAATCATCTCACCCTATATTCGAGTGCTAGTCTTAATTCTGCAATTACGACCTCATACTCGAATTTGTTGTTAGTCATATATGGGCATCTTATTGATTGGCGAACTACTTCACCGATGGGAACCTCGAGCACAGTCCCGGTCCGGACCTACAGGCATTGGACACGCCGTCGATGTGTAAGACCCAGAGGTCCTGTGTTTGGTGAGAAGATTGAGTGGCTTCTTTCTCGGCCTCAGGCATCACTTTGGCACTAATGTCTGTGATAAAGTCGGCGAGCACTTATGATTTTATTATTGTGCGAGGCTGATAGGTGATGTTGTGTTCACTTAATTCGATCGCCCTTTTTGCTAGCCTCCACGACAGCTTGGGTTTGTGCAATATGCTTCTTAAAGGAAAAGTGGTGACGACCGAGATTGGAGTGCACTGGAAGTATGGCCTAAGCTTTCGTGAAGCTATGATGAGGGCCAGAGGTAGTTTTTAAGGATGAGGATACCTCAACTCAATGTCGATACGTGTTTTACTGATATAATAAATTGGAGATTACATACCTTTGTCTTCTCAAACTAAGACTGCACTTACCACTACTTCCGAAATAGCGAGATAAATGGGGAGACACTCCCTGGGCTCGGACTTGGAGAGAAAAGGTGGTGACGACAGGTATTCCCTAAGTTCCCTCAACGCTTGTATGCATTTAGGCATCCACTCGAGGCTATTATCCTTTTTGAGTACATAAAAAAACATGCGACACCTATCAGATGACCGTAAGATAAATCTAGACAGGGTGACAATTCGACCTGTGAGTCTTTGAATTTGGTTCTTTGTGGTTAGATGTTCTAGTATCCCGTCGATGGCCTTAATCTAATCTGGGTTGACCTCGATTCCTCATTTCCAAGCTGATTTTTGAACATTTTCGTGACCAACCATTGATAAGTAATCCTCCGTGTTCTTTATCCCAAATAGGATGACATTGTAACAATACGTACCCTTGTGAGTGATGAACATAGTCTTTTCTTGGTCATCTTCCTTTATGAGTATTTGGTTGTAGCTTGAGTAGGCGTACAGAAAATGTAATAGCTCATGGTTTGTTGTTGCGTCGATGAGTTGGTCGATGTGTGATAATGAGAATGAATCCTTTGGGCATGCTTTGTTCAGGTTGGTGAAGTCCACACACATCATCCATTTCCCATTTTTATTTTTACCGTGTTCTTCAACCCAAATAGGATGACCTTGTAACAATACATTCCCTTGTGAGTGATGAATGCAGTCTTTTCTTGGTCATCTTCCTCTATGAGTATTTGTTTGTAGCTTGAGTAGGCGTAAAAAAATGTAATAGCTCATGGTTTGTTGTTGCATCGATGAGTTGGTCGATAAGTGATAACGAGAATGAATCCTTTGGGCATGCTTTGTTCAGGTCGGTGAAGTCCACACACATCCTCCATTTCCATTCTTCTTTTTACCGTGTTCTTCAACCCAAATGGGATGACCTTGTAACAATACGTTACCTTGTGAGTGATGAACGCAGTCTTTTCTTGGTCATCTTCCTCTATGAGTATTTGGTTGTAGCTTGAGTAGGCGTAAAAAAATGTAATAGCTCATGGTTTGTTGTTGCATCGATGAGTTGGTCGATGTGTGATAATGAGAATGAATCCTTTGGGCATGCTTTGTTCAGGTCGGTGAAGTCCACACACATCATCCATTTCCCATTTTTCTTTTTATTATTACCACATTAGCGATCCACCTAGGATATTTCGACTCCCTGATAGAATCGTTGGCCAATAACTTTTCTACTTCTTCATAGACGGCCTGATTGATTGCAGGGTTGAACTTTCGTCGGACCTGCCTTACTGGAGGGTAGTAGAAGTCAATGTTTAGCCTGTGCATGTCTATCTCCTTGGGGATGCCGGGAATATCTGCATGGCTAAAAGAAAATAAATCGGCGTTAGTTATTAAGAGTTTATTGAATCTACCTAAGTCTTGGAGTTTGTAGCTAATGCATGATTTTTTGCTTGGGTCATTGTGATCTAGCTGGACGTGATCGAGGTCTTATATGGTCGATTCTGCGGCTTCGACCATTTCTAGGTCCATAATGAATTCTTTGGCTTCGGCTTGTGGTGACCTCGAACCTTCTGATTGCTATGCTTCTTTTTCCTTTTCTTTCTTTTCTTGAGTTGTCGTACCGTCTATGGCAATTCGATAACATTCCTAGGATGTGCATTGTTCCCCTCGTATACTGAATATCCCTAGGGTGTTGGGAATTTGATCACTTGGTACAAGCTGGATGGGATGTCTCTCATGCAGTGTATCCATTGTTTGTCCCAAAATGGAGTTATATGCGGTGTCCTGGTCCATGATATGAAATGTTATTTCCAGAGTCACCCTACCAGCGAGGACAGGGAGTGTGATCTCTCCTGAAGTCCGTTCAACTACATTTGTAAAACTAGTTAGTGTAATGCACTGCGTCACTAACTTATCCTTGAGTCTCATCTCTGTAAGGACTCGAGGATGGATGATGTATGCCCTGTTTCCGTCATCTACCATAATTCTTCTAACATCAGTATCTGAAATTCGTAAAGTAATGACTAGTGCATCATTGTGATGGAAAGTCAAACTATCGGCATCTGACTCATTGAAGATGATACTTTCTTCGATTTCGTCATACCGTTCATGGGTGATCAATCTTTTGAGTTTGTGAATTCCGGTGAATTTGATACCATTGATAGAGGTGTCGTCACTGCCACCAATAATCATATTGATAGTGCGAGCTGGTAAAGACGCTTTGGTGGGCCTAGGCGTTCTTGACCCCTTGCTAAAGTGTTCACGCCTTTGTCACTGAGTAATTCTTTGAGATGTCCTTGTTGCTGCAAGTTTGCTATTTCTAGTCTCGGAGCATGGCGATCTTCTATTTTATGTCCACATTCTTGGTGGAACTCGCAAAGGGCGTCAGACTTCCTGGTGCTCGGGTCGGACCTCATCTTTAGAGGCCACTTTACCTTTGTTCTAAGCTTCTCAAGGGTGTATAACACCTTTGTAGGTGACACAAAAAAGTTGTGAGCAGATAGTAAGGGGGTTCATGTGATTGCCTGATCACAGTCTAGAGGGGGCCGTCTTTGTAGCAGAAGGAAGAGACGTGTGTCCTGACATAGGATTGACGTCGTTCCTTGCCTAGACGCGATACTAGATGGACTCTCCTTGTGTTGTACCTGTATTTTTTTCTGAGCTCAGATTGTACAGAGATGAGTCATCGATTTGGATCATTGAGGTCATTATCGTCTTCCCTGACCTCGACACAGTAGGCATTATGGAGTTTGTCCCAAGTGGATGGTGGGTACTTCATTAACTGACTTAGTAGCTTTCTGGTCGCCCACGAGCCCTGTTTGCTCAATCTGTTCTGAAAGCTGTCACGGCCATCCCCTCGGAGACGTTTGTTAAAGTCATCCTCACCATGTTGAATCAGGCGAGGAAGTCCCTCAGTCCCTCTCCTGGGGATTGCTTGATGTCAAAGATATCGTTCACCCTTGTTTCAGCTTTCTTGGCCCTGGCATGTGCCGTTACGAACTTATCGGCCATATCTTCGAATATTTCTATTGAATAGCCTGGTAGCTGTGAATACCACATCAACTCCCCTCCAGTGAGAGTTTTACCAAATGTTTTCAGCAAGGTGGAGACACCTACTCTTTAGTGAGGTCATTGCCTTTTACGGCGGTGATGTAGTGAGTTACATGATCTTTGGGATCGGGCGTTCCATCGTAGATTCTGAGATATGGGGGCATCTTGAAAGTTTTTGGTATGGCATTAGGGGCTGCTTCTTCCTTGTATGGTTGTTCCACAAACCTACCGCCGTCTCTTTTCGGCAATAATTTGGGGCACCTGGTATTTTGTCTACCCGTTCCTGGTGCTCCTTCATTTGTTCCTTGAGTGCTTTGTTCTTGTTTTCCATTTCTTCCATTATTTTCAACATGGCGGCTTGGATGTTATCACCTACACTATCAACATTTGTATGAGTGTTACCTGAAGTTTGGAGGGTTCGGTTGGTCATCGTGTTCATTCCTGCGTTGTGCTGCATGGATCCTTGTGGTTTCTATGGTCGTGCATGAGGCTTGCTTACTAATCACGTTGACTAGAGTGTCAGTCAACCATGCTTTAGGGAGTTCTTTTACTACGGGTAGTACCCCTTCTCCCGTGGACGTAGAGGCCCCCTTCCCATTTGATTTGGTTGTGTTGGAAAACGGCATAGGCGACCTCCCTGGTCTGGGGGAGGACGTGGTAGTCGCCTCCTCATCTTGGGTGTCATACTCTTTGTCGATGACACTCATGAGGTTGAGCAGGGCGTTGTCTGCCGCTTTTATCCGGCTTCCTTGGTTACATGCCATGGAATTTTTGTATACACACAAAGAAAAAGGATAACCTTTGTGGTTTGTTAGATCAACAAGTCACGTGAGTTATAGAGCTGATGGAAACTAAAAATTTGACTGAAAAATCCCCATAGACAACGACAAACTATATGACCCAAATTTTTTATATAGGTTTATACAATTAGATTTATAGCGACAGAAGAGTTAATGTAAGTCAATATTAATACCCAAATGATAAATCAAGTGTATATGCTACTGGATTACAATAAATAAGAGTAATAATGGAGTAACGAATGACTCAAGAATATTAAAAAGAGCAATAAATAACAATAAATGACATTTAAGTAAACAAATGAATAGAGGTCACCCGATAAAGGTGAGATTCCCCAATAATTCCTCTAACAATGACATATAATGATAATCTTTTGAATATTTCGTCCTTCTTGGATCGGGAAAGAAAAGATAGACAATGATTAAAAAGGTAAACTTTGTACGTATGTGATAATATTCAGAGAATGTCAATAAATTGTTCTTTACCAAAAAGTGTTTAATCCCCCCTACAACTATGTATATTTCTCTTTTAAGGGTACATGAGCTACAAAATCCTAGATAGTACAACTAGGAGGAATATTCACTGAAATATTTTCTAGGGAATAAAATCCTAGACTAGCCATTTCTGCTCTTTGAAGAGGAATGCTCGTCCTCATCCTCGTCTTTTATCGAGTCACTTCGACCTTGTCGACGACCTGTTATCTTCTCGTGATGTCGACCCTTTGAAATCAAGACATCGCACCATTTTGACGACACATGTCAATCTCCGAAGGCTTCATTCATGTCAGGTCAACATGTGACATTACTTTTTCACCCATACAAAAAAATCTTATAATACAAAAAAAAAATTGTAATGGACCATAATATGAATCTCAGGAAAATGATATTCCATTACAAATGTTCTTTTAAATATGTGGCTGTTTTCACAAAAAATTGGTAAATAAATATAAAAGATCTTTATAGAATTATTTTCTTTTATTCAAATTGTAGTAAACTCTTTCCCCTATACATATAAAACCTTACAGCCTTCTGTTCTAAACAGATTCATAAACCACCGTTGCATCTTGTTCTTCTCACAGCTCTAACACCCCAAGAAACATAACTAAATTTTTACCCTTATTTTCCCTTCTCTTCTCCTTTCTAATTAAAGTTCCATCAATTGATATTGTCTAACATGGAAGGTGGAGGTTCGTTGATGCACAGAAACAAAGCTGTATTATTTCAAGAACAAGTCCTTCATCAGTACTAGGTACGAACAAGCTGGATTCACAAACAATATCCAAAATGAAGCCAAAAATTCGCATAATTCACATATTTGCTCCTAGGGGTGTACATGGACTGTATTGATTCAGTTTTATTGGGTTTTTCAAATTCTTTTTGCATGAATATTATTTTAATCTTACTTTGTTAAATATTTTATAAGTAAATATATGTTTAGTAAATTTAAAAATTAACAAATATATGATCTATTAAAATATTCTTGTGGGACAATTTTCTTAGTAATACGTAATAGTTATTTTTTTTTGAATAATCTGACAATAATTTTTCATTGATGTACATTTTCAAGATTAACCAAATTTAATTATTAAAATAAAACTCAATATGATATCTAAATAATGATATATTCTATTTACTTTTAAATTATTAAAATACCACTTCAAATTCGAAAAAGATATAAGAATTTCATAGATCTTGACATATGGAAAAACAAAAAAATTGACGCATTTGAGTAACACTGGATATGAAAGAGATCATACAACCCATTATTTAAAGTTATAAAAAAGGGAGCACTTCACATTTAACTAGGGGTATACATAAGCCGATTGGTTCGGATTTTTCAATTATCAAACCAAACTAATTGGTTCGAAATTTTAAATCTATAAACCAAACCAAATCAACAAAAGTCAAATTTTTCAATCTCGATTTTTCTCGCGTTTTTGGTTTTCTCGAATTTTTTGAATTTTTTCGGGTAAACTTTTCATAGCATAAAATATATAACTTGTGCTCTAATATATCTTAGGTTCTAGTAGGAAAACACTATATAAGATGTTATCCAAGAAAATAATATAAATTAGTGTGAGATGAGTCATGGTATTATACTAATAAAATACTCAGCAAGTCACATAAAATAAATATTGCTAATTGTTAGTTAGTTAGTTAGCTGTTGTGTAAATAAGCATAGTCCTACATGGAATAGGAGTAGTGTAGGCATTGCTATTTGTTATAAATAAGATACTTGTATTATAGTTAATATATGTGAATAATATATTTTTTGGTGCATTCTCACATGGTATCAGAGCCTGTGTTTTAGATCCTAAAGCATCAACTCCCAAAGACATCATTGGATTGAAGAGATGTCTATAAAATTATCACCAAACCCTAGTGAACATCTCCGGCAGCAGCCTCCTTAGGGGGAGTCTTGTGGCCTTGTATGTCGCTTGTACCAGTCACTTTATAGTCTAAAATAGCCTCCTCGAGCCTAGTTTGGTAAATTCAGCTTAGTTATCCAGGAGTTTGGCATGACTCGTAGTGAAGCTGATCACTTTGTGTTTTATCAGCATTCTGCTTCAAATCTTTGTATTTATCTGGTGGTCTATGTTGATGATATTGTTATTATTGGCAATGATCATTATGATATTAATAATTTGAAGCAGCACCTCTTCCAGCGTCACGACCCAAAATTCACTTAAGGCCGTGATGGCGCCGGACACCACTGTCAGGCAAGCCAACACAAAATAGTTAATTTAGTTCTCATTTTGGTATTTTTGAAATCATAATTTCCTTCAATTTAACTAGTAAAAGATGAATTTTACAGATTAAATAATAATATTTTTAGCAAATTTCAATACTGAATAATCCAATAATCATCCCAAAACCCGGTGTCACAAGTGCATGAGCATTTACTAGGAAGTAAAATAAAATACAATAACTGTCCGGAATACAAAATTGGACAGAAAAAAATACAAGTACTCTGAAGGAGACTCTGCTGGCTGTGGATCGTCTCATAAGATGCAGTTCACCTAAATCCCTATATCAACCACGTCGCTACGCCCACAAGGCTACCAGACGTACATGTGCCTGTACAATAAAATGTACAGCAAGTGTAGTATGAGTACGAAACCAATGCGTATCCAGTAAGTATCCAGTCTAATCTCGAAGAAGTAGTGACGAGAGATCGACTTCGATACTTACTAGTGGTCCAATAATATCAGCTGCAGTAAATAACAACAACAATCCAGTAAAATTCCTCTAGTGGGGTCTGGGGAGGGTAGTGTGTATGCAGACCTTACCCCTACCCCGAATGAGTAGAGAGGCTGTTTTTGGAAAACCCTTGGCTCAAGAAAA